TCTGTTTCTCATTTTGTTTGTTACTGCATTGCGTAAGTACTATAAGAAAACGAAATGAAGTAATTCAATATTGTATTTTCCGTCTTTTAATTAAAATGGTTTATTGGCCACCCAAACCTAAGCAACCCTATAGTGTAACTAGCGTTGCACGTTTAAGGTCCTTTCCTATTAATGTAAGGCAATATATTTCATCAATTTTGCTAGAACAAAAGATTTATCTCTATAAGTGTTTATTTCTAAGGAGAGCTAAGGAGAAGGAAATCTAACTGTGATATAATTTAATTTGAATGAAATAACCTTTTTTTATACTCAAAAGCTTTTCAAGGCTGTAAATTGACCGTCAATTTTGTGTCCAGCATTCATGGCTCTGTCTGGCTTTCTTCCAGACCTCTTGGGTCCATCCCTTCTTTCCTCTCATTTCAATTTTAGTCAGGCAGTATCTTGTGGCTGTTTTTATCTTGATCTCAGCTAAAAAGACAGCTAATTTATTTTTTAATAGATTTCTAATGACATCACCTAACATTGTTCAGATATTCCTGGTGGATCATCATGACCTTTGAAATCAGCTAGTTTGGTTCTTTATATATTTTCCCATTATTAATATTATTTATATAATATCAACATATTCTGCTGCACTTTACACTATTAAAAATGGGAAATAAAACAGCAGATAATTGACAAACAAAATATTGCCCAGAGAACCAAAAGGTGAAAAATACTTGTCTAAAATGACTTCACGATGTAAGAGTATTTTTTTGCAGAGTTAACTTACCGGCCTTTCAGATCTGGACTGCCATTATGCATATAATTAGTCTCATATGCAACTGGCCAATGTTCTCCTTGGGGAAAAATGAGTTAGTGGGCCAAATGAACTGACCTTGTATGAAACCTGAACCAGACCTCACTGATGTTATCTGAACTGTTATCCATTCACAGTATTTTCATTAACTCTTGTTTTTGGCTATAATGCAAGACAACTCTAAATTATATGGCATACATAAACATGGATGCTATATGGGCACTATTTAGGCAATTCTCATTTCAAGGAAAAAGGAGAAGTCCCTTGTGGCTGCAAATTACTTAAATCTTTTTAGCACTTTTTAAAGAGAAAAAAACCATGTATCATAAATGTTTCAAGCTAAATTAGCACATTTTTGTAAGGTAACAAGTAATATGCCCTGAAGGTTCCTTTGTCCTTATACCCTTGCTATTACTGTGTTTTTACTTTGCAGTCTCATACTTTTATTTTAAAAGTAAAGATGATTATAGTTTAAACTTTACATAGCTTCCCTTTTCTAATTAGCTAGATGAAATAAAGTCTTACTGCCATGAGCAGGTTCTGCTTTTTCTTCACTTTCTGGCTGTATAATTAAAGCTCACAAAATAGAATTCTATCATGGAGAATATTCAACTAAGGTAAGCGTTCAACCTTAGTGGAATAGTTGTGTTTTTCAATCAATTAAATTCTATTAATATTCATATTGTTGTTATTAACTGCAGCTATATATAACCTATTCTGTATTCTGTAATGCCGTACAATTAAACATGGCTATACAGAATCAAGTAATATATGAATGAAATGAAGTTCACAGATGCAAGAGGTGAACAAGGTCCTGCTCAAATAAGCTTGCAATCTATTGTGTCTTTTTCAAAAACATTCAGTTAGTCTAGCACCCTGTCTAAACATAGTTTAAAAGAGGAAGGAGAAGGAAAATATTATTAGAAAATTGCTTATGAGCAGGGATAGCACATGTTCATTGAAAAAAGGGACTAGGGGGTATATACCGAACGTACATTTCTCAGCATCATCTATACACACACTTGGTAGGTTCAATGCACACATCCTCCTCAACCAGCATGCCTCTATTCCACTGCAAGTCACAGACTATTTTAATGAGTCTTGTACTCTAGACGTACTGTGGCTCAAATTGTTGGCCAACCAATGTGACACTTTTCATCTGATTGCTTGGAATAGGTTTGCTGAAGGGTGCTTTTCGTCCATCACTTCATTATGTAGCAGGAGCAATTCATAACCCTGCTGCCTACAGAGCCACTTCCAGACTGTTATGTTGCTAAGTTTGAATCTCCTCCACTACTAATACCATATCTAGGCACTAAGCGCTGTCACCAGGATGAAGTCAAGGAGAGGAAGGCAAGCTATCCAGTAGGAACACTCCATAAATCTGTGGTCAAGTGCTCACACTGTATAGAAAAAACAACTAATTTTGAATATTTGTGCTTTTTCTTATGTGCTTATTTAGTGAAGCTGCTAAATACACTCGGTGGGTACTCCAAAACCCACTATAACAAATATAGCAAACACCCAAAAATGGTAACTAAGTGTTTTAAATAGTGTATCCACTCTTCAAAACACTCAGTGTAGCGCTATTTATGTATTACAAAGAAAAACACACACACTTACCCTTCAGTATGAATTGGGGTTGTACATAAAAATGAAAATAAAAAGCAGAAAATAGTATAATACTGTATATCAGTGTGTAGTGGAATAGTATGTGAGTGAAAAACAAACTCACATTTTATAGAGCCTTTTCAATGGATATGGGCTCTAAACACTTAGGTCTCTGTGCCTTTAAGGTGGCAACTGTAACCTTCTTGTGTTGATATATCTGTCACTCACAGGGTCATGTATTGAAGGGAAAAACAGAAAACCATACCAGGAAGTTTGAGTGTAGTATTCAGGATCTAAGTATATAAATATTCCAATTGGGTAAAGTGAGTTTTAGAGTTTGTTGGTAACTGGCTCTAAGTATGAAGGTTTTGTATCTACTTGTGTGGTGACACCGCCCTCTTTGAGATCAGGCTACAAGGTGGAGATGAGGTTAGTTGAAGATTTTAAGAAATGTATTTGCCAAGTAAATTAAAATGAATAAAAACCAAATACAACTAAAATGCAAAAAAAATATATGTGAGTAAAAAGTCCTTTTATCCTCTACTTCACCAAGACTCATTTTGCCCTCGATTTCGCCTTTTCAATTGGTAAATCTTCAAATCCTGCTGCTCGACCTTTTGATGTTTAAATTCCATGCCTCCTCTTCATTTCATCCAATCATGCTGTGATCTTACAGCTTGTAACATATTCATCCTCACCTTGCGGTATCTGCGCTCAGCGGCCATGTGTCAGTGTACCTCCTGCAACATGTTGGTGGACGCCGGCTGCTACAGATCCACACAGAATTATAGCCCCACGTCTGCCCACAGTGATGACAACGTCGGTGTGCGTATGACATCACGCGGGAGATGCGCGCACCTTCTGGGGTCAAGTGCCGATTTCGGCCAATCAGAATTGTAAAAGGCTTATTTAAAAGCATTTTTACTTCTCCTCATAGCCCTGTCGTGCTTTCCGTTACAAGTTGTCCGAGAGTGTGTTCCTGAGCGTTTATTTCTGGTTATTGACTTTGGCTTTGTTTTGACTTCCCTGTATTCTGGTATCCCTGACTTTTGGCTTTCCCTCATCATTGTGTTCACAATCTCGGCAAGTATTCTGACTATTCTTTGGTACGTTAAGTCTGGCCATTCTAAGGCCCGGTAAGACGTTACCTTTTAGTCCTAGGTGTGATACAGTTCTACATGCTGGATCAACTAGTAATCCTGACACAGTTGTCTTGTGTTTATCAATTGATTCTGAAGGGGGTGTATGCTCTCCTAAAGCATCACGTGACTTCCGGTTTTCGCTCGCAAACTACCATACCCTGCATGCACCTGGCATATGGCAAGTCTGACCCATTTCCGTTTGTTCATTCCGTACCGACTACTATTCCCATACTGCACCTGATGCTCCATATTTCTTATAGGTCCGAGTCCTTCTCTTTCTTATTCATAAAGTGTCATAAAATAACCCTCATAAAGAGGCAAAAATGTGGGAAACGACAATCAAAATTGAAAAAGGTATATAATAATATAAAATACACCATTTTTATAATAAAATACTTTAGTGTAATAATGTTCTAAATAGCTTGTGTTATCAGAAATACATATATATATACATATATATATATTCAGTATAAATACTATATTAAATATATAGAAAGCACCTTTAAACATACACAAATGTGTAGAGACATATATATAAATCTACATATAACACTTGTCCAGAAAGACAATTTCATTCACCTTAAACCACATCCTTTGCATTAGCAAAAATACCCAAATAGAAAAGAAGAAGAAGAAATCCACAAATCTTAAAAAATGGTTATTCTTAAAAATTGTTATTAAAAAAATGGCATAACTCAAAATCCGCATTGAGGCCAAAATGGGTAAGTGTGTTAAGGTTAAAAATCCACTTCATTTTGTTTTTTCCAATTTTTTAAAATAATTTATTCCCCTCTCCAATTCATTTCTACTTTCTGAATTGCAAGAAATTGGAGGAACTGTTGATCACTATTATGCATTAATTTAAAATGATAAGAAACATTATGGTTTTTCATACCCCCCTTTTTTTTTAATTCTCCATTTTTGTTGTGCTTGATATTAAAAAACAATACACAATATACACTGCGGTAACCACAATAGGATGACAAGAAAGGGCAAGAAAGTGCATTTAGGCATACCAGCACATTTTTAGGGAAAAGGAAAAGTCGGAAAAACAATGTGCAGATTGGGTTAGACAGTGAGGATAATCAAGCTTACTGCACTGAGATGAGACTGTATAGAATTATATGTAAAACATGAGGGAGTATAGATTATAACAATCTAAGTAGATTAACATACACCAAGTTAGGATGCAAGATTTCTATAAAGCCACAGCTTTTGTGATGATGGTCTTCTACACAAGTAGCCTTCAGTGAGTAGAATGAAGGCCCAATGTAGCCTCTGGGGATCAGTGGTGGGTTAAAGAACTGGAGGGCACATACCTTTATATTTTTAAAACTGCAACATAAAATTCAACATAAAATTTATTAAAACCAAGTGCGCATTGTTTGGGCTAAACCTGCTGGGCTCCCCTTCAGGGTAAGATTAGTCCCTGGAGCAGTTTATGTTTTTCACTCCACGCCAACTCTTGTAGCTTGATGAGTGAGTCCGGGGTAAAAGGGCCAGGGCAAGGCTTCGTCCAGCTGTGTGACAGCCTCCATGTTCTGTCTGTCGTTCCCTTGATCTCGAGCGAGATTGGGCTTATCAACGGGGGTCGCAGATTGCCCTCCTCTCAACTGTTGCTGTTGGGGGGATGGCCGCTGCGGTGTTATCGCCACTCTAACGCCTTCTGCCAGCCTCTCTGGTATTTGCCACCTGAATGCTGCACAGAGCTGAGCAGCTTGCCACTGTGGTGTTAGCAGCTTGCCACTGTGGTGTATGGAGTCAAAATAGTTTGCAGGAGTTGTCGTTGTGCATGCAGCCGCTATCTTAGGTAAGTGGAGTTGCTTTGCGTTTTCCCTCTTATGCCCATCCAACAGGGTTTGTGTGTCCAGATCCAGGCTGGTAATGGTGCTGTTGTAGACCAAGATGACGCCCGCCTGTTCAAAGGGGGGGGAGGGTGTTCTGCAATGCCCTACAGGACTTCGAAGCTGCGAGACTGGCTGCGCCACCCGCCTTGCATCAACTGCTAAGCCGCAAGACGGACCTGCCGCTCTGAGTGTGTCTGGAGAGTCAAATGATGCCCCAAACCTAGGCCGCAAGACGGACCTGCCGCTGTGAGTGTGTCTGGAGAGTCCATGATGCCCCAAACCCACACGGTGCCCGGTGAGGTGGGTTTACGTAAGGTGCCTGGTAAGCTTGGCTGTGTCACAGCATATAGGGCTTAAAGTCAGTCATTCGGGTGGATGCAACATCTCCACATGGCGGTCAAGCTCCTCCCCTTCATACCCCTTTTTAATGTTCCTTACATGCTCATTAATCCTTATGTAGAGGGGTCATTTAATTCTTCCCACATAAAATAAGTGGCATGGACATATTAAAATATAAATTAAAATTTTGGTAAAACATGTAATCATATTTTTTATTGTATACTTCTTTAGGGGATCCAAAAAGGTTTTAATGTGTGTCTTTTTGCTATTACTGCTTCTACAGGCTAGACATTGTCCACAACCAAAAAGACCTTTCTTTGATGATTTAACAACCATGATATGTGAATCTATTTTGAGTGCTTTTTCTTTAATTGCTCTGGATGCGTAAAAACTATTATAATCAAAAATGTGAAAAAATATATTTTTTCTATATTTTTCTAATTTTAAATATTTTTTTCACACTTAATTTTGTGTTAATTATACATATAAAATAGTAAAAGAAAGCCCTTTCTGTCATTTAAAAAACAACATATGTACAGGGGCACTTAATCAGAAACCTTTAAATCAGAACAAACCGCTCAATTTCTAGGTTTCATTTTGGTTCAGAACTTGGACAACTTCCTCTGTCATAAAGGGGATATGCTAAATAGTGTCCAAGGTGAAATGCTCAGCAGCAGAATTTGCTGTCTTGCAAAGTCTTTGTGAAGGACCTATTATTATCTTGGCATCTTAGACTCTTGCTGTAAAATTATGATTTAATATGTTATCACGTGTGAGATAATTTAATGTTAAAGGGTTTCTGCAAGCAGGGCCGGCCTTAGGCCAATAGGCACCCTGTGTGAAAAGTCTTCACGGCGCCTCCCCCCCCACCAAGTTGCTTGTATACAGTCAGATACACAGGCACAGGCTGACAGTCACACAAACAGTTACAAGCAGACAGTCAGACACGCTCAGTTACAGGCAGACAGTCACACACACAAAAACACACACACACACACACACAGTTATAGGCAGATGGTCACACATGCTCAGTTACAGGCAGACAGTCACAGAGCCAAACACACAGTTAAACACAGACAGTCATACACAGTTACAGGCACACAATCACAAACAGGTACAGGTACACAGTCACACACACAGTTACAGGCAGACAGTCACACACAGTCACAAGCAGACAGTTACACATACTCCATTACATGCAGACAGTCATACACACTTGGTTACAGGCATGCAGCCACTCACAAACACTGATAGGCACACACACACTCAGTTAAAGGAACATAGTCACACATACAGGCACACACACCGGCACAGCTACAGCGACACACACAATTGGAGTCGCACACAGTTACAGTCACACACATGCAGACAGTCTCACACAGTCTCACACAGTCACGCACACACAGGCAGGCAGTCACACACACAGGCAGTCAGTCACACACAGGCAAACAGTCACACACAGGCAGTCAGACAGTCACACAGGCAGGCAGGCAGACAGTCACACACACACACACACACACACAGGCAGGCAGGCACACACACAGGCAGGCAGACAGTCACACACACGCACAGGCAGGCAGACAGTCACACACTCACACATACAGGCAGTCAGTCACACACACACAGGCAAACATTCACACACAGGCAGTCAGACAGTCTCACACACACAGGCAGGATGACACACACACACACACAGGCAGGCAGTCAGACAAACAGTCACACACACAGGCAGGCAGGCAGTCACACACACACACACACACACAGGCAGGCAGACACACAGGTAAACAGGAAAACAGTCACACACAGTCAGGCAGTCACAGTCACACACACACACACACACACACATACACAGACTTACCTCTTTCCAGTATGGCTGGAAGGGGGAGTGGATGCAGTTGGTTGCTGGGGAAGCAGGGACTCCTTCCTTCTTCCCTCTTCCTGTGCAGCATATACCAGGGGCTTTGGGTAGGTATTAGCCTCATGATAAGTCCCACCCTGTCGCTAGGTAAGCTCTTCCCCCGCTGCTGAATTTGTTTTTTGTTTTTTTATAGACCCGGGTGGAGAATAATGAAATCCTCCACCTGGGGAACTGTTTTAGCTCCCCTGCAATGCTGTCATCCAGCCATGTGTGAGCTGTGTCGGCCACATGGCACCTCCTGCTCCATGGCGCCCTGTGTGGTCGCACAGCTCGCACACCCTTTAAGGCCAGCCCTGTCTGCAAGCACCATGGCTAGTTCAGTAATGTGAAGTGGTCATGGTGCCTGCAGTCTGTATGTGCAGTATTTTACTTCGAAATGCTGCACATACTAAGAGTAACCTCTTATCAGATATGTAACTCCACTTCCAGCAGCATTATTAGCCAGCCAAAACCAAAGTTTTGGATCGGCTTCTGTTGATTCTGTGCAAAATTGAACTCTTGGAGTTGAAGGATGGAATGTGCTCCCTCATCTCTGTACTATTTTACATAAACGAGAGTACAAAACAGGGGTTGAAGCATTGTGGACACAGGGAGAATATTATAAATAACATTTGTAATATATAGAAATTTACATGAACATGAATATTATGGCAAATATGGAATAAAGAACGGCAACAAATGCAACATAAAAGTCTTGCTCGGATGTCCAAAAGGGTTCAGTTGATAATTGAGGCATAACCCAAACATACATATAAATAAAAACTAATGAAGACAAATTCCACATAGGGGCCTGACTTCAAAGGATTACCAACCATAAGATATCAAGATAACTGAACATAAAAGTATATAATTTTTTATTGGATAAACAAAACACACAAAAAAGAAAATCACAAACAAAAAAAATCTTAAAAACGAGGAAAGACAATAGGCCAGAGGTCACACAGACCATATAATTAATTCTAGGGTTAGAATGTAGAAATTCAAAGCATCTCCATTAGTAGCATTCAGCAATATTAAAACTTTGTAACAAAAGTGATGCATAATTCAATTAGATATATTTTCAGCTATACTATAGTGTTTTGATTTTTTCTCTTTGGGCTTAGCCAGTTAGTTTGGGCTAGCTTTTATGGACTAGATGGAGGGACTGCCTCAAAGCAGTAATGGGGTGGTTAGCTTAGGATCCATATCCATCTTTATAATGGGTCTACATGTCTGAGTGGAATCTTTTTCAATTTGGGAACCACTTTATATATGTTTATACCTCTGTCTGCCCTTCTATTACTAACTATCTAATCCTCTAATTTTTTTTTAACCTGGCCTCTGTACTATTTTATTTAACTTATTTACATTTCATTCTGTAGCTACTTTTTCTGTTCTGTTCATTCAATGCACCAGCCTGATTAATGAGACTTTCGTCCTTCTGAGTGATAATTGAAATATTTGATTGAAATAGGAACAAAATACATCTAGGGTGACCTCTTGCTGTCTGTTTGAAAGATCTCTGAAACTTTCTAAATGGTTTAGATTTCATTTCTAACATCTAATCGCTGAACTTTATCTATACAATTATCAGGGAGCAGTTTCATTTATCACCTAAATTGTAGCTGATTATAACTTCATTGCAGTTAGTATTTCAGCTATTGTGAGCTTGTTGATTGACACACTAACTTGGATTTTACTGCTGCTAGCTGCTACAGGCAAGTCTCCTAATTTTGTATACCATGTTCTTTTAGAAAACCCTAAGGCAATTATATAATTATTTAGACCCTATATTCTATACAAAGACTCTAACCAAAAAGGGTCAATCTAATTCTAGGTCTATAACTGTATGCTACATTTATACATACATACATACATACATACATACACATTCTTCACATTTTTGTAAATATTTTATTCTATCTTTTCATGTGACAACACTGAAGAAATGACACTCGGCTACAATGTAAACTAGTAAGTGTACAGCCTGTATAACAGTGTAAATGTGCTGCCCCCTCAAAATAACAACACACAGCCATTAATGTCTAAAACGCTGGCAACAAAAGTGAGTACACCCCTAACTGGAACTGTCCAAATTAGGCCCAAAGTGTCAATATTTTGTGTGGCCACCATTATTTTCCAGCACTGCCTTAACCCTCATGGGCATGGAGTTCACCAGAGCTTCACAGGTTGCCACTGGAGTCCTCTTCCACTCCTCCATGATGACATCACAGAGATGGTGGATGTTAGAGATCTTGCGCTCCCACCACCTTCCATTTGAGGATGCCCCACAGATGCTCCATAGGGTTTAGGTCTGGAGACATGCTTGGCCAGTTCATCACCTTTACCTTCAGCTTCTTTAGCAAGGCAGTGGTCGTCTTGGAGGTGTGTTTGGAGTCATTATCATGTTGGAATAACACCAAGTTTAACACACCTGCTCCCCATTCACACCTAAGACCTTGTAATACGTACAAGTCACATAACAGCGGTGAGGGAAAATAGCTAATTTGGCCCAATTTGGACAGTTCCACTTAGCGGTGTACTCACTTTTGTTGCCAACGGATTAGACATTAATGGCTGTGTGTTGAGTTATTTTGAGGGGACAGCAAATTTACACTGTTATACAGGCTGTACACTTACTACTTTACATTGTAGCAGAGTGTAATTTCTTCAGTGTTGTCACATGAAAAGATAGAATAACATATAATAATAATAATCTATAAAAATTGTAGACTACTTGACAAATAATCAGGTACAAATTTGTGCCCTGCAAGAAACCAATTGGATACGATCCAAGGAAATGATAATAAATTCCACAAGATACTCCACCATTATAAGTGCACCACTAGAATTTTTTTAAAAAAAGTAGCATTTATTTTTGCAAACAGCATTTCCCTAATCATTAAACATCAAGAATTAGATCCAGGCGGCCGATTTATTATTTTAATATGTGAAATAAATAACAAGCTTTTCACACTATTCAATATTGATGCACCAAATAAAGCTACAATAAAATTCATCACAAAAGTGTTT